CCCCGGTTATAAATTTAACATTTAGTTAATTCCACCGCTCTCCGGGGCATAGCACGGTTAGCACTTTTTTCCATCTAGCAAACCGCCCTATCGATTTTCTAAAGTTTCTTTTTGGATTTTTTTTAATTCGCTGAGGGTTATAGTTAGGGTTGTGGTTAGGGTTAGGGTTAGGGGTTAAAGTAGGAGTGGAGTTTGGGTTACTCACTCCGGTTAGTTACATAGCCATTTTTAAATGGTGTTCAAAAACTCATTAATAATTCATGAAGCAATTATCCAATCTTGAGTAAGAAATTAGTCACGTGCATACGTCTTTATACCAGCTAAAGAACACTTTAACAAAAAGACTATTGTTATGCAAACTATATAAAGATTTTTATATAAAGATTTTTATATAAAGATTGACTTATTATGCAAACGTTTTTGAAGCCATTTAAAAAAATTGCAAGTCGTGTTTTATTAGGTCTAAAGCCACTCGCGCTGCGCGCTCGTGGCTTTAAACCTAATAAAACACTCCTGCTCGTTTTTTAAATAATACTTAAAACACCTCTTCCATCTTCCGAAAATGACGTCTGGTCAGTGTAGTATATTCAAATTATTCTGTAATATTCTATAGGCTATAGTTATGTAAATTAAGCATTGTGTATTCAGTTTGCTGGATGGAAAATAGTGCTAACCGCATAGCACGTTGTTAAATAGCGTTAAATCCCCGCTAAATTTTTATTAATCCCCCGCTATGTCCCGGGGGTGGGGAGTCCGTGGTTTCAAATGACTGAAGCATTATTCAATCGAGTGAGATGACAACGAAATCTTGATATTTATCCACTAATGTATTCTGTCACTGGATGACTGTTCAATATTCTCCCCTTAACCCTTTAAGTGGCAATGCGCCCTACTTTAGTATTTTACTCTCAGGCTGTCTATTATGCCAGACGATTTTACTCATCAAGTGGAGAGTGCTGTCACTCAATGGGTTAATGAGTAAAATCACCTGCCATTGGTCATAATACAATAATAAAGTCAGGAGCATTGCAGCTAATCAGTTAATTTTACTCATCTTAGGCAACAGCAATTCAACTATGTAACAAAATACCAATGTCTACAAGCCATCATGTCCAACGTATTGTCTGATTTTTGGATGTTCTAAAATAGTTCAGTTGGATTTGCAGATGAAGTACTTGAAAAGGTCAGTTTCAATTACAGTAGTTGTGTATTGTTAGCAAAGTACTACCGTATTATACAAGAATGATATGAAAATTTTTCTTCAATGGTCCCCCTTTTCATTTCACCCAAATTGTTCAAAGCAGTTTTTATCAGTCGAAAGTTATTGTTTTGATGAGATGAATCGTTTCCAACAATTTTCAGAAAGTTTGGAGGGAGTTGGGGTACTTTTTGCATTTTTCAAAAATTTCCAATGGTCCTCCCTTTGTTGACCTCAGGGTTGCCTGTGGTCATGCTTTTAGCCAGAACGGCGTCCTGGGGGAAAAATGGATGCCATTGGACACCCAAGTTCTGGGGGGGGGGAAGGGAAATTATTTCCCTAAGTATATTAACATAAGTTCTTTGAATGTTTGCATGGCGATAAAATATAATTGCAGTAATAAATTTACGTGGTGTTTCCACAAACAAAAACAATTATATATTAATATATCTGAAATGAAATAGCTTCAATTGACAATTCTCATCATTATCATACATTAGACAGTTTGATCAATTTGATGGTTTACCTGGCTGAATGAAAATGTCATAGTTAAGTAAAGAAGCATAGCGGCACAAACTCACAAAGCCAAGTGTGTTTGAAAAATTTCGAACGAGCTTGGTACATATACTGACATGAAGTAACGTAAACTTCAAAGGTTTTCCGAGGAACGTTTTCTCAAACTCTCCCCTCTTTACTGTAGATGTATCGTTATACCAAAATTGGACACCCTCTTTTAGGACCCTGGCTGTAAAAGCCCGTGGTCCCTCCTTGTATTTGATCCAAATATTTCAAAACATGTTTTTATGAGTCGAAAGAGATTGTTTGGATGAGAGAAATGGTTTTCGACAATTTCCAGAAAGTTCGGAGAGGGTTGGGTCACTTTTTGAATTTTTGAAAAATTTCCAATGGTTCCCCCTGTACTCAGCCAGGGGTTGCCTGTGGTCCCCTTTTGCATTTTATCAAAAATTGTTAAAACGTTTTTACTAATGAGAGCGAGGTTCCAAGACCGAAATGTATGTGTGACATAATTATGGAAAGGGTGTATTGAACAAGTCACATATTATTGGAAGAGGTTATTTCGCTGGCCTCAGAGTGACAAAACGTAACATAATCCTTGCCCTAACCTAACCCTACTCCAAGTTTGTTTCTAAACCAATCTTGAAGAGAAAAGTTTTGACGAAATGTCGAAATGTCATTTTGAGGTCAGTGAACTAACTTTTTCCCATATTAATTAGCACTGATGAAGATCTGGGCTTACAGATCGAACGCTTTCCAGTAATTTATTTATGGGGTGTTTCCACAAACAAAAAGTATTATATGTTTTATCGCCATGCAATCCTACAAAGAACTTATGTTAAGACATGTTTGTATCAGTCAAAAGTAATTGTTTTGAATAAAAGAACGGTTTTCGACAATTTTATGAATGTTTGAAGTGGGTTGGGGACATGTTGAATTTTTAAAAAATTCCTTTCCCCCCCCCCATATATGGGCATTGAATTATGAGCTTCAGTTTGACTTCAAAAAAGGAAAAATCTTGGAAATTATGTCATATTTCTGAATTTGATTTTTTTGCAACCCCCCCCCCCTTGCACCCCTGTTGACCAAGGCCAACAGGGGTGCGCACCCCTGTGCCCCCCCCATATAAATCCAGCCCTGGTTACACTTGTTTTGTATTTAATTAGACTTATTCTATAAATTTGAAAAACAACCATTGCTGTAAACCTTTTCGTATGAGGTGGTCGCATATCAGTTGAAGCTATTGTAACAATGTTTCAAGTATTGAAGATGACTGTATTTTTTCAGGTGTGCTATTTACAGCCGAATACAGCAGTGCAGGAGATAAAACATCGGGGAATGCTAGTTGTAAAAACAAAAAGACACGTCAATTTTAAAAGAAAAAGTCGCTCCAGTTTAGGATATGTAGATTGGAATTCAAGTCCACACAGAGGAAAAACTTCAAGGTTGCAGGCTCCCTCGTCGCTTCAGTTGGGAATAGAGATCAGTGGGAGAACAATGGGAGCACGGGGCTTAATGGGAATGCGATAGAACGCGCGTACGGATGACGGATGAGGGACTGTGGAAGTGTGGGGGTTGCTGGTTGTCACCATAGGGATTATAAATAACACTAGAGGAGGCATCGAGTTTAAAAATTGGGAACGTAGCTAATGGGGGGCAAATTCAAGTCCCGGATATAAAATCGTGCTCTCATTGGTTGATTTGAAACTCGTCACCAATGGGAACACGAATACACATCCGGGACTTGAATTTGCCTCCCATTAGTCGCGTTCCCTTTTTTTTCCTGAATTAAGATTACAATGCCTCCTCTAGTGTTATTTATAACCTCTATGGTTGTCACAGAAAAAATCCTTGACGATATATTTTCTGCTTCTACTGTTACGATATGTCGATTTCTTGAAATGATTTAAATACTCGGAATACTCTGGCTAACTTTAATATTTCGTCCATTTTTTTGCCCGTAAAAATGTAAAGGGTAACCCCTTAGTATTTCATCCATTTTAGACCGTTTTTTATTTCTAAAAAATAGGCCAAAAATTTAAGATTGATCCCTACAGATAAAGTAATACGAGCAACAAAATTGCAGCAACTTGCAATAAAATCTTATTTCAACAGATGTTAATTGAATTGCTGCAACACTCGAGACAACATTAGTACAAATTTCCAATTAACATGCGTTGAAATCAGATTTTATTGCAAGTTGCTGCAATTTTGTTGCTCATATTACTTTACCTTTAAATTTTCGTTATTTTAGACTTTTTATTTATTTATTTAAAATAGCCCAAACGTTGCCGAAAAGTTCAGGTTAACCTTTTATGTTTTTGCTCATATTTAGCAGTATTGTATTTCGGAAAAATAACTAAATACTTAAATTTAAGCTCTTAAATTGTTGTCATTTTGGAGCGTTTACTTATAACTTAAAAATAGGCTAAAAAACGTAAAGGCGAACCCCTTCAATTTTCGTAGGCCGTAAATGTTGAAAATAGGCCAAAAACAAAAAAAGCTTTCTTTACATATCGGTATTAAAAAAATTTTCAACTTCATTCTAGAAAGCCTATGGACCGTAGATTCCAAAAATTCCATTTTTCAGACCGTGGTAAATTCATGTTTCTGCTACAGGGGCCTTGAAATTCAATAGAACATAAGGTTCGAAACCGCATAATATTAACTTTCACGTCTTTTTCGATTACACATGCAGCTGGAAAACCTGCTTTTTTATATCCCCGGACGTCTAGTGATGCACGAATAAGGTATCGACAGAAAGCTTATGGACAGTAGATTCCAAAAATACAATTTTCAGACCGTGGTAAATTCACGTTTCTGCTACAGGGGCCTTGAAGTTGAATAGTACATAAGGTTCTAAACAGCATAATATTAACTTTCACGTCTTTTTGGATTGCACATGCAGTTGGAAAAAACCTTTTTATGTCCACGAATGTCTAGTGATGCACAAATAAGGTATCGACTGAAAGCCTATGGACCGCAGATTCCAAAATTACAATTTTCAGACTGGCGCAAATTCAAGTTTCCCCTACACAGTCCGTGAAATCCAATAGAACATAAGGTTCGAAACAGCATAATATTAACTTTCACGTCTATTTCGATTAGACAGCTTGAAAAACCTGCTTTTTATCTCCACGTACGGCCTAGTGATGTCCGCGTAAGGCACACACGAAAACGCTATGGACCGTAGATTTTAAAAATACAATTTTCAGACTGGCCCAAATTCAAGTCTCTGCTACATGAGCCTTCAAATTCAATAGAACATAAGGTACGAAACACCGAGGACAAGGTTCCTGACGAAGAAGACAAGGTTTCTGACGTTGACGACAATGTTCCTGACGTTGAGGACAAGGTTTCTGACGCTGACGACAAGGTTCCTGACGCTGAGGACAAGGTTCCTGACGCTGACAACAAGGCTCCTGACGCTGAGGACAAGGTTCCTGACGCTGAGGACAAGGTTCCTGACGCTGAGAACAAGGTTCCTGACGCTGAGGACAAGGTACCTGACGCTGAGGACATGGTTCCTGACGCTGAGGACAAGGTTCCTGACGCTGAGGCAGGAATAGAACCTGCGATACAAGTGCAGTGCTCTAACGAACTAAGCTACAGAGTCCAGTTGTCGACCTCTAACAACCTGTCGAGCTCTAACCACATGTTCATGTATAAAAAATAGGGTACTGCTATGTTTTAGGTTGTGGGGTAAATATCGAGATTTTCTCACTCATTCACTCATTCATAATTTATTTTAGCATCACGAACCTTGTCCTCAGCGTCAGCAACCTTGTCCTCAGCGTCAGGAACCTTCTCCTCAGCATCAGGAACCTTGTCCTCAGCGTCAGGGACCTTGTCCTCAGCGTCAGGAACCTTGTCCTCAGCGTCACGGACCTTGTCCCCAGCGTCAGGAACCTTGTCCTCAGCGTCAGAAACCTTAGCGTCAGGAACCTTGTCCTCAGCGTCAGAAATCTTGTCCTCAGCGTCAGGAACCTTGTCTTCAGCGTCAGAAACATTAGCGTCAGGAACCTAGTCCTCAGCGTCAGGAACCTTGTCGTCAGCGTCAGGAACCTTGTCCTCAGCGTCAGTAACCTTGCCCTCAGCGTCAGCAACCTTTTCCTCAGCTTCAGGAACATTGTCCTCAGCGTCAGGAACCTTGTCCTCAGCGTCAGAAACCTTGTCCTCAGCGTCAGGAACCTTGTCCTCAACGTCCGAAACCTTGTCCTCAGCGTCAGGAACCTTGTCCTCAGCGTCATGGACCTTGTCCTCAGCTTCAGGAACCTTGTCCTCAGCTTCAGGAACCTTGTCCTCAGCTTCAGGAACCTTGTCCTCAGCTTCAGGAACCTTGTTCCCAGCTTCAGGAACCGTGTCCTCAGCGTCACGGACCTTGTCCTCAGCGTTAGAAACCTTTTCCTCAGCGTCAGGAACTTTGTTCTCACCGTCAGGAACCTTGTAGGGACCTTGACCTCAGCGTCAGGGACATTGTCCTCAACGTCAGGGACCTTGTCCTCAGCGTCAGGAACCTTGTCCTCAGCGTCAGGTACCTTGTCCTCAGCGTCAAGAACCTTGTCCTCAGCTTCAGGAACCTTGTCCTCAACGTCAGTGACCTTGTCCTCGACGTCAGGAACCTTGTCCTCAGCGTCAGGAACCTTGTCCTCAACGTCACGAACCTTGTCCTCAACGTCAGGAACCCTGACCTCGACGTCAGCATCCTTGTCCTCAGCATCAGGATCCTTGTCCTCAGCGTCAGTAAACTTGTCATCAGCGTCAGGAACCTTGCCATCAGTGTCAGGAACCTTGTGCTTAGCATCAGGAACCTTGTCCTCAGCATGACGAACCTTGTCCTCAACGTCAGGAACCTTTTCCTCGACGTCAGGAACCTTGTGCTCGACGTCAGGAACCTTTTCCTCAGCGTCAGGAACCTTGTCTTCAGCGTCAAAACCTTATCCTCAGCGTCAAGAACCTTGTCTTCAACGTCAGGAACCTTGTCATCAGCGTCAGGAAGCTTGTCCTCAGCGTCAGGAACCTTGTCCTCAACGTTAGGAACCTTGTCCTCGACGTCAGGAACCTTGTCCTCCTTGTCCTCAGGGTCAGGAACCTTGTCCTCAGCGTCAGGAACCTTTTCCTCAACGTCAGGAACCTTGTCATCAGCGTGAAGAACCTTGTCCTCAGCGTAAGGAACCTTCTCCTCAGCGTCAGGTACCTTGTCCTCAGTGTCAGGAAGCTTGTGCTCAGCATCAGGAACTTTGTCCTCAGCGTCAGGAGCCTTGTCCTCAACGTGAGGAGCCTTGTCCTCGAAGTCAGCACCCTTTTCATCAGCGTCAACCTTGTCCTCAGCATCAGGAACCTTGTCCTCCGCGTCTGGAACCTTGTCCTCAGCGTCAGGATCCTTGTCCTTAACGTGAGGAACCTTGTCCTCCGCGTCAGGTACCTTGTCCTCTGTGTCAGGAATTTGTGCTGAGCGTCAGAAACCTTGTTCTCAGCGTCAGGAACCTTGTCCTCATCGTCGGAAACCTTGTCCTCAACGTCATGAACCTTGTCCTAAGTGTCAGGAATCTAGTCCTCAGCGTCAGGAACCTGGTCCTCAACGTCAGGAACCTTGTCCTGAACGTCTGGAACATTGTCATCAGCGTCAGGAACCTTGTCCTCAACGTCAGGAACCTTGTCCTCAACGTCAGGAACCTTGTTCTCAACGTCAGGAACCTTGTTCTCAACGTCAGGAACCTTATCCTCAGCGTCAAGAACCTTGTCTTCAAAGTTAGGAACCTTGTCATCAGCGTCAGGAACCTGCCTCAGCGTCAGGAACCTTGTCCTCAGCGTCTGGAACCTTGTGCTCAGCGTCAGGATCCTTGTCCTCAGCGTCAGGAACCTTGTCCTCAGCGTCAGGTACCTTGTCCTCAGTGTCAGGAACTTCTGCTGACCGTCAGAAACCTTGTCCTCAACGTCAGGTACCTTGTCCTCAGTGTCAGGGACCTTGTGCTCAGCGTCAGGAACCTTGTCCTCAGCGTCAGGATCCTTGTCCTCAACGTCAGAATCCTTTTCCTCGACGTCAGGAACCTCGTGCTCGACGTCAGGAACCTGTTCCTCAGCGTCAGGAACCTGTTCCTCAGCGTCAGGAACCTGTTCCTCACCGTCAGGAACCTGTTTCTCAGCGTTAGGAACCTAGTCCTCAGCGTCAAGAACCTTATCCTCAGCGTCAAGAACCTTGTCTTCAACGTCAGGAACCTCGTCCTCAACGTCAGGAACCTTGTTCTCAACGTGAGGAACCTTGTCCTCAGCGTCACGAACCTTGTCATCAGCGTCAAGAACCTTCTCAGTGCCAGGAGCCTTGTGCTCAGCGTCAGGAGCCTTGTCCTCAACGTCAGGAACCTTCTCCTCAGGGTCAGGACCCGTGTCCTCAGCGTTAGGTACCTTGTCCTCAGCGTCAGGAACCTATTTCTCAGCGTCAGATACCTTGTCGTCCGCATGAGGAACCTTGTCCTCAACGTCAGGAACCTTGTCGTCAGTGTCAGGAACCTTGTCCTCAGCATCTGGAACCTTGTCCTCAGCATCAGGAACCTTGTCATCAGCGTCAGGTACCTTGTCCCCAACGTCAGGAACCTTGTCCTCAACATCAAGAACCTTGTCCTCAGCGTCAGGTACCTTGTCCCCAATATCAGGAACCTTGTCCTCAACGTCAGGAACCTTGTCCTCGACGTTACGGACCTTGTCCTCAACGTCAGGGATCTTGTCCTCACCGTCAGGAACCTTGTCCTTATCGTCAGGTACCTTGTCCTCAGTGTCAGGGACCTTGTGCTCAGCGTCAGGAACCTTGTCCTCAGCGTCAGGAACCTTGTCCTCAACGTCAGAATCCTTTTCCTCGACGTCAGGAACCTTGTGCTCGACGTCAGAAACCTGTTCCTCAGCGTCAGGAACCTGTTCCTCAGCGTCAGGAACCTGTTTCTCAGCGTCAGGAACCTAGTCCTCAGCGTCAAGAACCTTATCCTCAGCGTCAAGAACCTTGTCTTCAACGTCAGGAACCTTGACCTCAACGTCACGAACCTTCTTCTCAACGTGAGGAACCTTGTCCTCAGCGTCACGAACCTTGTCATCAGCGTCAAGAAGCTTCTCCTCAGTGCCAGGAACCTTGTGCTCAGCGTCAGGAGCCTTGTCCTCAACGTCAGGAACCTTGTCCTCGACGTCAGGAACCTTGTCCTCATCGTCAGGAACCATGTCCTCAACATCAGGAACCTTGACCTCGACGTCAGGAACCTTGTCCTCAGCGTCAAGAACCTTGTCTTCAACGTCAGGAACCTTGTCATCAGCGCCAGGAACCTTGTCCTCAGCATCAGGAATTTTGTCCTCAGCGTCTGGAACCTTGTCCTCAGCGTCAGGATCCTTGCCCTCAGCGTCAGGAACCTTGTCCTCAGCGTCAGGTACCTTTTCCTCACTGTCAGGAACTTGTGCTGAGCGTCAGAAACCTTGTCCTCAACGTCAGGAACCTTGTCCTCAGCGTCAGGAACCTTCTCCTCAGCATCAGGAACCTGGTCCTCAGGGTCAAGAACCTTGTCCTCGGCGTCAGGATCCTTGTCCTCAACGTCAGAATCCTTTTCCTCGACGTCAGGAACCTTGTGCTCGACGTCAGGAACCTGTTCCTCAGCGTCAGGAACCTGTTCCTCAGCGTCAGGAACATGTTCCTCAGCATCAGGAACCTGTTCCTCAGCGTCAGGAACCTAGACCTCAGCGACAAGAACCTTGTCCTCAGCGTCAAGAACCTTCTCTTCAACGTCAGGAATCTTGTCCTCAACGTCAGGAACTTTGTTCTCAACGTCAGGAACTTTGTTCTAAACGTCAGGAACCTTGTCCTCAGCGTCACGAGCCTTGTCATCAGCGTCAAGAACCTTGTCCTCAGTGCCAGTAGCCGCCTGCTCAGCGTCAGGAACCTTGACCTCGACGTCAGGAACCTTGTTCTCAACGTCAGGAACCTTGTCCTCAACGTCAGGAACCTTGTCCTCAACGTCAGTAACCTTGTCCTCACCGTCAGGAACCTTGTCCTCGACGTCAGGAACCTTCTCCTCAACGTCAGGAATCTTGTCCTGAGCGTCAAGAACCTTGTCCCCAACGTCAGGAACCTTGTCCTCAACGTCAGGAACCTTGTCCTCGACGTTACGAACCTTGTCCTCAACGTCAGGGATCTTGTCCTCAGCGTCAGGAACCTTGTCCTCATCGTCAGGTACCTTGTCCTCAGTGTTAGGGACCTTGTGCTCAGCGTCAGGAACCTTGTCCTCAGCGTCAGGATCCTTGTCCTCAACGTCAGAATCCTTTTCCTCGACGTCAGGAACCTTGTGCTCGACGTCAGGAACCTGTTCCTCAGCGTCAGGAACCTGTTCCTCAGCGTCAGGAACATGTTCCTCAGCATCAGGAACCTGTTCCTCAGCGTCAGGAACCTAGACCTCAGCGACAAGAACCTTGTCCTCAGCGTCAAGAACCTTCTCTTCAACGTCAGGAATCTTGTCCTCAACGTCAGGAACTTTGTTCTCAACGTCAGGAACTTTGTTCTAAACGTCAGGAACCTTGTCCTCAGCGTCACGAGCCTTGTCATCAGCGTCAAGAACCTTGTCCTCAGTGCCAGTAGCCGCCTGCTCAGCGTCAGGAACCTTGACCTCGACGTCAGGAACCTTGTTCTCAACGTCAGGAACCTTGTCCTCAACGTCAGGAACCTTGTCCTCAACGTCAGTAACCTTGTCCTCACCGTCAGGAACCTTGTCCTCGACGTCAGGAACCTTCTCCTCAACGTCAGGAATCTTGTCCTGAGCGTCAAGAACCTTGTCCCCAACGTCAGGAACCTTGTCCTCAACGTCAGGAACCTTGTCCTCGACGTTACGAACCTTGTCCTCAACGTCAGGGATCTTGTCCTCAGCGTCAGGAACCTTGTCCTCATCGTCAGGTACCTTGTCCTCAGTGTTAGGGACCTTGTGCTCAGCGTCAGGAACCTTGTCCTCAGCGTCAGGATCCTTGTCCTCAACGTCAGAATCCTTTTCCTCGACGTCAGGAACCTTGTGCTCGACGTCAGGAACCTGTTCCTCAGCGTCAGGAACCTGTTCCTCAGCGTCAGCAACCTGTTCCTCAGCGTCAGGAACCTGTTTCTCAGCGTCAGGAACCTAGTCCTCAGCGTCAAGACCTTATCCTCAGCGTCAAGAACCTTGTCTTCAACGTCAGGAACCTTGTCCTCAACGTCAGGAACTTTGTTCTCAACGTCAGGAACTTTGTTCTCAACGTCAGGAACCTTGTCCTCAGCGTCACGAACCTTGTCATCAGCGTCAAGAACCTTGTCCTCAGTGCCAGTAGCCTTCTGCTCAGCGTCAGGAACCTTGACCTCGACGTCAGGAACCTTGTTCTCAACGTCAGGAACCTTGTGCTCAACGTCAGGAACCTTGTCCTCAACGTCAGTAACCTTGTCCTCAGCGTCAGGAACCTTGTCCTCGACGTCAGGAACCTTGTCCTCAACGTCAGGAATCTTGTCCTGAGCGTCAAGAACCTTGTCCCCAACGTCAGGAACCTTGTCCTCAACGTCAGGAACCTTGTCCTCGACGTCAGGAACCTTGTCCTCGACGTTACGAACCTTGTCTTCAACGTCAGGGATATTGTCCTCAGCGTCAAGAACCTTGTCCTCAAAGTCAGGAACCTTCTCCTCAGCGTCTGGAACCTTGTACTCAGTGTCAGGAACCTTGTCCTCAACGTCAAGAACCTTGTCCTCAGCGTCAGGTACCTTGTCCCCAACGTCAGGAACCTTGTCCTCAACGTCAGGAACCTTGTCCTCGACGTTACGAACCTTGTCCTCAGCGTCAAGAACCTTGTCCTCAGCGTCAGGAACCTTGTCCTCATCGTCAGGTACCTTGTCCTCAGTGTCAGGGACCTTGTGCTCAGCGTCAGGAACCTTCTCCTCAACGTCAGGAACCTTGTCCTCAACGTCAGAATCCTTTTCCTCGACGTCAGCAACCTTGTGCTCGACGTCAGGAACCTGTTCCTCAGCGTCGGGAACCTGTTCCTCAGCGTCAGGAACCTGTTCCTCAGCGTCAGGAACCTAGTCCTCAGCGTCAAGAACCTTATCCTCAGCATCAAGAACCTTGTCTTCAACGCCAGGAACCTTGTCCTCAACGTCAGGAACCTTGTTCTCAACGTGAGGAACCTTGTCCTCAGCGTCACGAACCTTATTCTCAGCGTCAAGAACCTTCTCCTCAGTGCCAGGAGCCTTGTGCTCAGCGTCAGGAGCCTTGTCCTCAACGTCAGGAACCTTGTCCTCAGGGTCAGGAACCGTGTCCTCAGCGTTAGGAACCTTGTCCTCAGCGTCAGGAACCTATTTCTCAGCGTCAGGTACCTTGTCGTCCTCGTGAGGAACCTTGTACTCAACGTCAGGAACCTTCTCCTCAGTGTCAGGAACCTTGTCCTCAGCATCAGGAACCTTGTCCTCAGCATCAGGAACCTTGTCATCAGCGTCAAGAACCTTGTCCTCAGTGTCAGGAACCTTGTGCTCAGCGTCAGGTACCTTGTCCTCAGTGTCAGGAACTTGTGCTGAGCGTCAGAAACCTTATCCTCAACGTCGGGAACCTTGTCCTCAGAGTCAGGAATCTTCTCCTCAGCATCAAGAACCTTGTCCTCAGGGTCAGGAACCTTGTCCTCAGCGTCACGAACCTTGCCATCGGCGTCAGGAACCTTGTCCTCAGCGTCAGGAACCTTCTTCTCAGCGTCAAAAACCTTGTCCTCAGCGTCAGGAACTTTGTCCTCAACGTCAGGAACCTTGACCTGGACGTCAGGAACCTTGTCCTCATCGTTAGGAACCTTGTCCTCAACGTCAGGAACCTTGACCTCGACGTCAGGAACCTTGTCCTCAGCGTCAAGAACCTTGTCTTCAACGTCAGGAACCTTCTCATCAGCGTCTGGAACCTTGTACTCAGCGTCCGGAACCTTGTCCTCAGCGTTTGCAACCTTGTCCTCAGCGTCAGGTACCTTGTCCCTAACGTCAGGAACCTTGTCCTCAACGTCAGGAACCTTGTCCTCGACGTTACGAACCTTGTCCTCAACGTGAGGGATCTTGTCCTCAGCGTCAGGAACCTTGTCCTCATCGTCAGGTACCTTGTCTTCAACGTCAGGAACCTTGTCCTCAACGTCAGGAATCTTGCCTTAGCGTCAAGAACCTTCTCCTCAACGTCAGGAACCTTGTCCTCAGCGTCAGGAACCTTGTCCTCGACGTCAGGAACCTTGTGCTCAAAGTCGGGGATCTTGTCCTCAGCGTCGAGAACGTTGTCCTCAAAGTCAGGAACCATGTCCTCAGCGTCTGGAACCTTGTACTCAGCGTCAGAAACATTGTCCTCAGCGTCAGGAACCTTGTCCTCAGCGTCAGGAACCTT